TGGGGCCCGGGCCCCCCCCGGGGGGGGGGGGGGTGGAGTGATTTCTCGCGCTCTGTCTATCCCTCTCCAGCAAGCTCACGTGCTCTATAGCAAAAATCTCTCTCTAAAAAAATAATAATAAATAATAAAATTAAATAAGTAATCCTTTTTTAAAAATTACTGCAAAGTCATACAAGAACTCATCCTTCAGCGGGATCTCCACACTGCAATCCCTTCTCCTCCATTCTCTTCCTGGGATTTTGGGCTCGCCCACTCACACACCCATGTGAGTTTCAAGCTTCTGGGTCCAGGACCTGAACCACAGTTGGCCACATGGGAGTCCAGTGCCTTCACCACTACGTCACCTTCTAGCCCCGAGCATGTTGTTTTTAAAGGGATTGGTGCTGTATATATATGTTAAAGGGACCGTTGCTGTCATTTGCTTCTTAGTGATAACTTTTACATGGCTGTCGTAGCATCGCGGGAGTCCTCAGAGTCACCCAGAGTAGGAGTTGGGACACTGTGTAGGGTCAGAGTGGAAATAGGTTAGGGGTCTTCACAGTCTGTTGGAACTACTCAGCTCTCCTGCAGAAGACAACCCCAGGTAATATGGAAGTACGTGGACGTGGCTGCGTTCCAGCTCTATTTCCAGAAGCAGGCAGGAGGCCGGACTTGGCCCAGGCGCCACAGTCTGTCAAGCCGTTTACAGAAGGGGCCTGTGAATGTTTTCGAGTGCAGCTGTGTTCTAGACCCTGCTTCGAGGAGCCGACAGTCTCTCTCCTCTACTAGTCGACAATAAGCAAATTAAGTCTGTCGTGTGACCTGCTAGAAAGTGAGAAGCACAGCGGAACAGTGAGCTGCTGGAGCAGAGGGAAGCCAGTGGACTGCATTGAAAGTAGGGTGGTCAGCGTCCGCCACATTGAGGAGGTGAGAATTGAGCCATGCTGAGGAGTGAGGAGTGGACCTCGAGGCTGAGGAAGAGAGTCCCAGGTCTAGGGAACAGCCCCATGCAAAGGCCCTGAGGTCGGAGGTGCCTGGGGTGCTCCAGGAGGAGCATGATCAGTGCCGGCAAGATGGAGGGAGGGAGAAGAGGTCCGCGACTTCAGGCTGTCTGTGCTGTCTGACTTCAGAGTTTCAGCCTGCTTCGCCATGGGTGCAAAGTTCTGCCTCCCTGTAAAAGCCACACGGTGTCCCAGTGTGTAACCGGGCCATTGTATTGATTGTGTGTCCTGATTCCCTCTCAGTGGACTTTCGGGTTGTGTCTAAGTTGTCATTATAACAAGACTACGGTGACCATCACTTGGGGCTAAATTTTTGGCTGAATTCAAAATTTTTCCTTAGACTAGATTCTAAAAGTAGGATTGCTGAGCAGAGTGAAAACCGACTACAGAGACTCGTGAAGTGGGTTTGTCAGGTCAGTTCGGAGTACTGTCACCCCGGCCACCTCCCTGGGACCCCTTTCCTGCCCCTCCTGCCTTTCACACCTCTCCTGGTTCCAGGCTCCAGCACGGACATCAGTGAGGACTGGGAGAAGGACTTTGACTTGGACATGACCGAAGAAGAAGTGCAGATGGCACTTTCCAAAGTGGATGCGTCTGGTGAGGTGAGTGGGCCGGGCTGGCTAGGGATGCTAGGGCCCAGCTGCCCCTCAGGGTGGCCCCTGCTCCTGGCTGAGGTGGCGGCACGCTGCAGGACGGCGACTGGGGCCTCCCACTCCGGTGCAGGACCCGCTCAGCAGCAGCCTGCTTTGCCTCGGGACCAGGGCGATGAAGGGAGGGCTCTGGACCTTTCTGTCAGAGTTACCTGAGGGAAATGCAGATACTGTACCCTGGCCTTAGAGACCAAAGACCAGTGTGAACAAGGGCACTCGCTTAACCTGAGCCTCGGCTTCCTCACCTAACCGTGGACTTGATCACGGAAGGCCCAGCTTACAGGCTAGAATGAGGTGACACATGGACGTGTTAGGTCCTGCGTGGGATGTGGGAGCCACAGAGACACAGCACAGCACCCCCACGGCAAGACGGGCACCCCGGGCCTTAGTAGACATTAGGCTGCACACCCAAGGCCCGTTCCAGTTACTGAGCTCAGAGGCCTTGCTCCTATTCCACCGCCTCCCAGAACCAAGAGTGGGTCATTTGGAATGACCGCTGGAACGGCCTGATGCCCTCGCGGCTGACAGTGACTCCCGGGGCTGCAGTCCAGCGCCCCGTCACTGCTGCGTGAGCCATGGGCTCCTGCGTCTGCTGCAGTCATGGCTGCGCTGAAAGGTGGACAGATCAGAGGGAGAAGGGCCTCACTCACTTCCTGGGAAAGAAGCCTTGGGACAGGTAGGACCTGTGGCCTTACCGTGCCCAGGGCAGAGAAGGCCCATGGGACCCCGTCCTGCCATGGGGGCTTGCCGCCCTGTGTGTTGGCAGCCCTCCTGATGTGCAGTGTACCTGAGCAGTCACGTTAGAACCCGGCACCCCGGGCTTATCTGACAGTGGGACCAGAGGGGAGACGAGGCAGAAGGAAGTTCCCTGGGGATTCTGAGCTGGCAGTCGGGGCGGGAGTCCCTGGTGAAGACCCAGCCACCCCTGCTTGTCTCACTGCCCTCTCAAGTTCTCTACCTCTCGAGCCGCAGCCACCCCAGAGACAGTCCCCCAGGGACCCACTCGCTTTCGGCTCCAGGGCTGGCTGCTGAAGCGTTTCCTTTGGATCTGAAACAGAGCAGCAGGCCCACCCCTCAGGCAGAGGGCCACTCTGCTCTCCAGACATTCCTTCAGACCAGGGGTTCACTCTGAGCCGAGGGGCTGCTGGGGGAGAAGGGCTAACCATTCAGAAATGGAGGCAGCTCTGCTCAGCAAGGGGAGGAGGGGCCTGGGCTTGACTGTGGAGTAAATGTGTCTGTGCTCTCCGTTGTCCCCTCCTGTCTGCAGCTGGAAGATGTGGAGTGGGAGGACTGGGAATGAGGGGAGCCAGCACGAGCAGTCCCCCCACTCTCGGCCCCCACCTTCCTCGCTCGGCTCAGCGTGGCCCCGGAACACCCTGTGAGAATGTTCCCAGTGGCCTCCGCCAACCAGAGCTCTGGTCATAGATCTGCGTGCTCCCTGCTGGCCCTCTGGCCTCCGCTCATACCTGCCCAGATCCTAGCCAGGAGCTCTGACTTGTGCCAACCGCAGATGACCGAAGGGGGAAGAGACTTGCCCTTCACCAGAGAGCCTACATTTCTCTGCTGAAAACTCAGTTCCAAGGACTCTTTTGGGACACCCTGAGGGATACCTGTAGCCCTTCTGCCTGTGTCGATGGAAGTTAAACAGACTGCCAGTGTCTCGAAGGAAGCCAAGACCACACGCTGTCCCCTGTAAGCAGGCAGGAAGGCCACGCCACCTGCCTTTGGCTACAGGAGGACAGGAACACGTTGGTCCCATCTCAGTGGGTAAGAGGCAGTCATCTCTGGGAAGTTTGCCTCTCTTGGGAACCCCCTTCCAGGCGTTTTCCATTCCTGGAAAAGTCCCTCCAGGCTCAGAATCCGGAGACCAATCCCTGACCCGCCGCCTTCCTTTCTCCAGCCCATGCTGGTGTGTCCCATGCCCTGCCAGGACTCTTTCATGTCAGATACACCCAAGTCCTTAGCCCAGCTGTGCCCCCGCGAGAGACTGCTCGTGCATTTCTCTCCTCCCCGAGAGGGGAGGGCACTTCAGGCCCTTCCTGCCTTGCCTGGCAGGTGCCTTGTCCGGCCAGCTATCCTCAACGCCCCCGTAGCTTAGGGCCCAAGCCGGTGGTACGGAGCAGTGAGCAGAGCCAGGTACTTACAACTCCATCAGCCCGGCGCCTCCCCTCTGCCCTCCTGCTTCTCGAAAGGATGTGCCAGGGGCGGACTGCCGGAGACTCCGGAGGCTTCTGCAAAAGCCCTGCTTCCTGCAGACAGACCACCCTCGGTGGCTCCCGCCCTCCGCTCTGGAAAAGCCGCACCTCTCTTGTGGGACTGAGGGGCTGCAGGGATCCCTGGAGACCCTGGTGCTTCGCGCTGCTGCTCTGGTGATGCTTGTACATAATCTGTTGTGCTCACCGGGGATTGAAAGGAGTCGTGGTCAGGAACACTGGGAGAGTGGTGGTCCCTTCCACTTCAGACCTTCAGGGAGGGGCGGGACGGAGAGAACGCTGAGTCTTTTCCATGGGATGGGTTTTCCTCTTTGTAATGATTTTAGTTTAGTTAATCTTTTGGTTGTTTGTGCAATATTATATATTTTAAATTATAATGCATCTCCCCAGAGTATTTTGTAGTTGGGAAACAAAAAAAGAAAAAAAGGGGAAAAAGATTCTAACAGCTGTTAGTTTTGTAATTAAAAAGGAAAGAGAAAAGAACTTTGTCCTGAATCTCTTACAGACTTGCCGATAACAGGACTAAAGAGATTCAGCAGAAACTGGAAGGCGTCTGGGGACCATTTTTCCCCCAGGGCGGCTGGGGGTTGCGGGCGCAGGACAGTGCGATACGCTGAGGGCTTTCCACTTAGCTGCACGGGTACAGCCCGGGCCCCAAGAAGTCCCCTTGCCCTCCTCCCAGGCTCAGCTTGGCCTTTGGGGCGAGGAAGGGACAGGGCCCTCAACGAGCCTGTCACCCCGAAAAGGAGTCAGGAGGCATTTCTGCATTCCCGACGCGCCTGCTTTTATTCGGAAAGGAAGTTGCAACTGCAGTGGTTCCTGCTGCTCATGGTCACGTCTGTCCTCTCCTCTCCAACCCCTGTGTGTATGATGCTGGGGTCTCTCTCAGCTTTAAACACCTGTATGAAAATCACTTGTCAGCCGTAATAAAAGGGAAGTCTGAGTGAGGCCCTTTGTTCCATGAAGATCTTTAAGGGGAGGAGTAGTCAGGCTGGGAGGGTGTGGGAAAGCAGGGGCGACAACTGAAAGTGCAAATACATGTCACCGGCTTAGAAGCGCCTTTGGAGTTTGCTCTCCCTGCTTTATTGGGAACGACTTGCCACTGTGCTTATCAAGTGCTTGCTAGCCACGGATGCCAACTAACTTCTTCAATGGAAGGCCGCAGGGTCATGTCAGGTTCCAGGAGCTGCTTGAGCAGGTCCTGGCATTCGGCTGAGATGCCCAGAGAAGTGGGGAAGGATACCCCCTTCTGCTGCTGCCACAGCATCTTGGGGATGTCTGTGTCGTCGAAAGGAAGGCTGGCACAGAGCATGACGTAGAGGACCACGCCCATGCTCCAGACGTCACCCTTCTTGCTGTCGTGGGGGATGCCCCGCAGCACCTCGGGGGCGGCATAGGCTGTGCTGCCGCAGAAGGTCTGGCTCAGCTCGCAGCGGGACTTGGGCAGCACCTTGGCGAAGCCGAAGTCAGTCAGCTTCAGGTTGAAGCCCTGCAGCAAGGCGTTCTCACACTTGAGGTCGCGGTGGGCCACGCCACAGCCGTGGCAGTACCGGATGGCCTCGACCATCTGGCGGAAGAGGGCCTTGGCCTGGCTCTCGGGCAGTGGCCCCCCGTTAAGCACGCAGTCAAAGACGTCTCCTCCCTCGGCCAGCTCCATCACCAGGAAGATCTTCCCGTCGGCAGACTCCAGCAGCTCGTGCACCCGGATGATGTTCTTGTGGTCCAGGGTACGGACGATCTGGAGCTCCCGAGGCAGGAATCTCTGGATAAACTCTGAGTGAACAAAGGGGAGAGATTGGGTCTCGCAATCAGAAGGGCCCACCTCGGGGACCAGCAGTTGGTGTGATGGCTATGTCGCTGAACTCCCATGTAGTCAACTGCGGTTCAAGTCCCAGAACCACTGGCTTAAACTCACGTGGGGCGCATGTGCATGCGTGCCCAAGATCCCAAGAGGAGAATGGAGGAGAAGGGATTGTGGTGTGGCCTCCCCCCCCCCAGGGGGGGTGATTTCTTGCTTTCTGTCTCTGTTATCTCTTTCTGGTGAGTGCACACGCCCTATAGCAAAAAACCTCTCAAAAAAAAAAAAAAAGCAGGGCTCGCCTCCTCCTCTGTCATGCCTTCCAGCTTCTGCGGCCTTGGCCTTGGCTCCCTGAGTGCCTCAGCGTGAGCCACCTGCATGCTGCGAGAGTCGCCCCTCCCGCTAACGCTGGTACTGTGTTCCCTGGGAAAGCTGTTTCCTGCCCACTCGGGACTGTGGCGAGCAGCCTGAGACCACTGAGCCAAGGTGCTTGGGACCTTTAGGCCAAGCCACTGCATCTCGCTTCCAGGGCCTGCTCTGCCCACTCTTCTGCCCTGTGCCCTAGGCCACATGAACCCGGCTTCCTTTCTCCCATCTCCACCTGCCTTGGAACCAGCTCCTGCCCTCTGCTAGTCCTGGCTGTGTCCTCGCTGCCAGTCTCTGTCCTGAAAAAGACGCCGGACCCGCTTGGGTTCTGCCTGTGAGGGTACCTTCCACCTCATACCACTTGAACCCTGGCTTCTGGGAGGTGTGGTGCAGGGCCTCCAAGCCTCCAACCCACCTACCCCAGAGCCCGAGTCTGGCTGGTTTCCTTCCAGCCCCAAGAGGGGCAATGACCCCACAGCCAGCCCACCCTGCCTCCGGCCCCGCTCACCTTCCGGCCCTCCCATCTTGTCTATAATTTTAATTGCCACTTTTCTCTGGTGTTTTTTGGAAAATGCTTCTTTGACTTTTGAGTAGGTCCCTTCCCCAATGGTCTTGCCCAGCTGGTACCCATTGGAGAGCAGAAAGTCCTCCATGCTGTCTAGCGCCTCCTTCCTTCCTCTCCCCTCTCAGCTCATGCTGCCTCCGGGAGGCAGCTCTACTCCACCATCGCCCTCGGCCCGCGCCTTTTCCCCCCGCCGATTTCATCCGCAGCCGCCCCCGCGCCCGAGCATT